ATGATTTTCCCCTAATTTCTCACTCTGTGATCTTGGGGAAGGAGCCCATAGTTTGTTCAGAAGTGGAACCAGAATTATTTTTCTGTTTTTTTGTGTATTATTTTGTTTTAAGTTTGTTTCTTTTAGACATCATATTATTGATTTTTTAAAATTTGATTTGAGAAACTTTAAAAATTTGTGAGTTTATCTCATTTACATATTTTTATTTACTGTTACAGTAGAACTTATTTCCTTTACTTTCTTTTTCCTCCCACACCTCTCTCTTCCTTATCTTTGGCATTCTTCTCTTCCATCAAAACAAAATCAAACATTTCTCAGCATCCAGAAGTGGATATTTTATACATCTTTGCTCATGGTTAGAAATACCTGTTTTGACTATTATTTTTCATTGGGAGTAAAGGTTGGAATTCTCCATAAATCGAACAAGAACAATCAGATCACAATTTTTAAACGTAGTGTTTTAAGATAAGAGGCCCACTTGAACTTACCTCCCAAGTGGCACATAGATCTGATTTGCTATATAACCATTTGCCATTTTCATCTTTAGGATAGATTTCATCTCCAGGCTGCAAAAAAACAAAACAAAACAAAAAACCCCAAACAAACAAACCAAAAATCAAGTGTAATTCATTTTATTTATATCCAGGGATTGAAATGATGGAATTTCAGTGTCAATATTCCAATATACCCTGGCCCTGGGGAAACAATTCAAGATAGATAGATAGAGAGACAGACAGAAATAGATTTTTTTTTCCTCCTCTTTATGGAACTACCCAGAAATACATTTGTCCAACATATATAACATATCAGTCTCATTACCTCATTATTGCTTTACTTATTAATACATTATTGTTGTTTTTAAGCCATAAAGTTTTCTTTTGATGACAAGATTACTCATTTTAAAAAGTGAAAGTTGAGAATTAGGACTTTTAGGCTAAGTGTTTTGATAGTCTATCCTTACCAAATTTGAGAACAGCAAGTTTTACTCTTATAATAAACTAAAAGTCACCACTAAGGGTGAGAGGAAGAAATTCTTCAGCTAAGAAAAGTATAGCTGATGCAGTGAATGCTCCCTAAGTATAAGGGAAATGTACAGCATGTTACTTCTCAGATCTGGCTAACTGTCTCTGGTTCTTTTCTTTTCTTCTTGGGCCTTTTCTATTTCACACACTAAGTGTCAAACCTCCTTCTCTAACTTTTGGGTGATACTTTCTCAATGACGACTGACTATGGTATGGAATACTGTCTTTCAGATTTCTCCTTTTTTGCTACATTTAAAAATGGGACATATTTCATATGGGCTTGGAAATGGGATGGAGAGAAATAAAAGATGATTCTTAGGTTCCTTGGGTGGATGGTAGTGATCATTTCCTGAGGTTGGTCAAGGAATTGAGAGTTTTGCATTGGATATTTTGAGTTTGAAATGACCATTAGACATTCAAGTGGATATTTAAGATGAACAGAGACGTCTCAGAGAGTGGCTCAGAGAGAAGTCATGGATGAAGATAAAATGTGAGAGTCCTTGGCATATAAAATGGCATTGAACCCATGTGACTGGATGAAATCACCTAGAGAGAGAGTGTGGCTCAGTAAGATAAGAACACTGAGGCCAGAGTGCTGGGCATAACATGGAATTTGGCAGAGAAGAAGGTGCCACAGAATCACGAGAGGGTAAGATCACAGAATTCACAAGATGGGAATGTTTAAAGAAGGATGTAGTAGTTAACTGTGCTGAAAGAGATCAAACAATATGAGGACAATGTGTCTAATGGATTTGGTTGGCAGCATAGAAATTTTTGCAGACCTTGATAATAGGATTATTGTTGTTGTTGAAAATCAAGCAACTGGACAAAATCCACTATATTCTTTAACTTTTCCCCTAATTTTTCCCTCTGCCATCTTACCTACATGAAACTTTCACCAAGTGATACACTTTCTCTGTGCCCTTTTTGGCAGAGATAATTTCATCTTAATCTTCTGTTTCACTGAGAGTAGGAAAAGGACTCCTTTCTCCTCAAAGCCATGTAATCATTCATATTAACTACCCTGCCTGTTTCTGATTTTTAAACCCTTTAACCTTCTCAACATCTATGACCCTTACTTCCACTCCAGCCAGTCTTCCTCCTTATTTCTTGCCTTTTGTATTACCTAATTTTACTTCTGTTCTGAAATGGCTTTATGCCTCTGTCATGAATTCCGTTAAAAAGTGTTCACTTCCCCAAATTTTAATGAGGTCTTTATCAAACCTGAACCCATTTTAGATACATCTGTGATGTCCCCTTAAGTTTCCACTGTGCTTATTTTTTACTAATCCCTTCATCTGGATAAGCCCATTGTCTTTTTCCTTCTTTCCTGCTCCTGACTATAAGGCATTATCAGCAGAATAATTCAACCCTCTAAAAATCCATGCTATTGACTCTCATTCCTGTTCAGCATAACTTCACCTTTTTAAAATGTCATTTTTTGTGTATTTTGTTGTCCTGAAATTGTGTCTGCTTGTTAACTTGGCATTTAAAAAATAATAAAGTGCTAAAATATTTTAGCAAGAAAGGTTTTTCTTTAAAAAAAATCATGAGTCAAAAAAGCATGTGATATTTTGGTTTCAAAGATTGATTTCTCAATTATATGAATTATAGGTTCAGTTGGGCGATAATGTCATTATGTGAAATTTCTCACTGTTAAAAGTTTTACCTTACCTATGTCCTTAAACCTTGATCCTGTTTAAGAACAGAAATAGAATTTCTCAATTTAACTTCTCCAAAAAGATTTTACAAGTCATTAGTCAGCCACAGAGAAGTAAATTTCATTTTCTTACCTTTAAATACAGGTTCTTTCCAAATCTGTAAGACTCATTTTAGAAATCTGCTATTTAAACAAGAATTGAAGTTAGCTGAGAGAGGAGAAGGGCTGAGGTCATAATCCCAAGAGCCTGAAATCAAAAAATCGTTGTAGTCCACAGGGTATTGGGATTATTAGGCTTGTGGGGATAAGGCGGGGGCAGTGCAGTGTAAGAGAACGAGTATGGGGTGGGCATTAGGGGACTCAGGATCTAGTCCCAGTTTGGATGGACTTTTTTAAGCCTGAGTTAGCTAGTTCATTACTTGTGGTCTCAACTTTCTCTTCTGTGAAATGAAGTTATTGGGATACATAACTGCTAAGGTCACATCTTGGATGTGACCATAGAGGCAAGTCAATAAAGAAGGTGCTTCCACAGAACAGAATAGGAGCAGCCAGTTTGGCCATGTAAAGAAGTTCTGGCCACTGCAGCAGCACAGAGTCCTCGTTCTTCCTGTCCAGCAGGATCTGATTTATGTCATGGACAGGTGGCCAACTTTGTTTTCAATCTCTCCTTCCCTCAGTGAAATTTTAAAGTGGTTACTGCTCTTCAGCCGTGTATACTGGGTGTGTTGGTGGCAGTTAAATTAACAGAGTCCACGGATTAAGAACATTGATTTGAACTAAAAGAATAGATATCACATCGAAGTCCTGATGTTGGAGCTGGCTTCAAAGCCCTGACTACTCTTTGGGTTCTTCTCCTTCAGAGAGGGTGGAGGGTAAGTTTTCATTCATATTTAGTATTTTGCATTACATTGACCAGGGATGTTTTTGTGACTGTGTGAGAAGATGCCTAAAGAAGAAGGATGTGTCTGGATACTGGACAACTGAAATGTGGATAGCAGTTAGGAGACTGCATGTTGGTTTGATAGAGAGCATTTAAAGTGTAGTTGTAAAGACATGATACAACAGGAAGTGAATTGGATTATCAATCAAAAAACTTGGGTTCCAGGCCTGAGTCAGCTATACATAACTTTCCGGGCATCTGTTGAGCTAGGTCAGTACTATCTAATCTAAGGTAACAAAAGCACCATAACATTCTACGATGTTAATTAATGAACTAGCTTCATGCACAAAGCTGTCGGTTCATGGTTGCCTAAGAGCAGAGGCTTAACCTTTAGGCATGTGAACTCACTTTAAAAGCCATGGGTATTTCAATGATGTAAAGATCCACATAATCTAGCTGAAGGACCTTGAGCGTCCTCTCCAGAGTTGGGCGGACCATCTCTGGGATGTGATTTGTAGCCCACAGCTGAAAGAGTAAAAAGGAGATAGTTAACTAACATCCACACTATTTTTTTTTTACAGTAATGCAGCTCTTTATTCCTTATATATACTCATACACATTTTATTCACTCATTTCATTTCACAAATATATGTTTTTGCTGCAGTATCATCTGAGTATAGACTGAGCTGATAAAACTCTTGAGTATATCACCCAGAGTATAACTTTATCTGAATATAGTACCAGAGACTTAAAGATTCACCTGAACCACAGAGTAGCTAATTCAGCAACAAAGTCTTCCTCTAATCGACCCTCAGCACTTTCATTTTTCCTCAGTATGTAATTAGGAAACACGTATCTGACTAGCAGTTCTGACCTGGCATTTTATTTTCATGTCATGGATGAAAGGTGTGCTTCATCTGAGCAAGAAGTATGTTTGTGTGCATTGACTTCACTGGGTCCTTCACATTGTGACAGGTGATGCAGAAGCTGGTGAAATTTTAAATTACTGTAAAGGTCTAAATTCCTTTTCACTAATCCTTTGTTTTCATTGGGTACATTTCCTCATTTCCCAGGAAAATTCTGCCAATTCTTACTAAAGAATTAATCTCTCACTGAACAGATGATGTCACCAAAACGGTAGTATAGGAGACTCCAGCCTCGAGTCCTCCAACAAAGATCAACAATTAAAACAGATATTCACGAATGAAAAAAGGGAGATGTTAGTCAAAGGGTACAAACTTCCAGTTATAAGTTCTGGAGCTCTCATAAACAGCATGGTGATTATAGTTAACAATACTGTATTATATACTTAAAAGTTGCTAAGAGAATAAATCTTAAATGGTTTTATCACAAAAAAGAACTGGCAGTTATGTAATGTGATGAAGGTGTAAGTTAACACCAGGATGGTAATCATTTTGCAATATATAATGTATCAAAATAATGCACTGTACACCTTAAAGGCATATACAAAAGAAAAAGAAGGCTGCCCCCCTTAAAGAAAGTTATGGCAAATGCTTCTGTCATACAAACCACCTCCCCACTTCTCTCCATTCCTCAATTTTTCTGCTTTGTAGACTTGGCTCTTCCCACGTTGACTTAAATCAACGCCCATGTATGAGGAAAGAGCTTTGCCCTAACTTTCAAGGGGCTAATTAGTCCTTGGATTCTTGGCAAGAGTGAGGAATTTGTCAGTTAAGAACTCACTCTTCTTGGTGAGTTCAACATTCTGTATCAGAGAAAAGTGATGTTACATCCACCAAGTATGTAAGTAGAAGGCAGGTGAAGAGAAGAGCTCACCTTTCCGCAGTAGAAAATATCCTCCCTCCGCACCTTTCCTTCTGCTATCTTCTCCCTGATGGCCTCTCCCACTTCGTGTTCGTTGTAATAGACGTAGGCCCCATCAAAGTGCCGGTACCCCACATCGATGGCAGTTTTCACTGATGTTGCACAGGTCCCCTTAGGGGTCTAAAATGACAGGGAAGTTGGGGTAAGAGAGAAGAGAAAATGGGTCTTTCCTTTAGTTTAATCATTCTTTTAAAAAATTTTTATATTTGGGGTTTTTTGGGGGGGAGTAATTAGATTTATTTGTTTATTTAATGGAAGAACTGGGGATTGAACCCAGGACTTTGTGCATGCTAAGCACATGCTCTACCACTGAGCTATACCCTCTCCTCCTAATCATTCTTAATCAGGACACTTGGCACCTACATCATTTTATAGTGAAAATGACAAATTCCCAATTCTATGCTGTTGTGATTGGAAGATGGTATCTGAGGACAAGAAAGAGACCTCCTAGGCAGCTTCCCACCCTCAACGGGAGATTCATACATCCCAGGTTTGCCCTTAGTTTTGAGGATTCAGAAATATAACTTGATCTTAGAGCATTCTCTAAGATCATATTTAAAAATAAACTCAAAATGGATTAAAGACCTAAATGTAAGACTGGATACTATAAAACTCCTAGAGGAAAACATAGGCAGAATACTCTTGGATATAAATTGCAGCAATATTTTTTTCAAAGCAGCTCCTAGAGTAATGGAAACGAAAGCAAAAATAAACAAATGGGACCTAATTAAACTT